GGTCCGTTTCCCCCCCCCCCCCCCCACCTCTCTGGCTTGGTGATTGGCCACAGAGGAACCCTGGGTACCCCCCAGACCTAGGAGGCACCATTCGCTGAGCCTGGGGGGCGTGGATGTAAATAAAATAAAAACAAAGTTTGACTGATTGAGTGTGTAAGCTAAGAAAGACTAGCAATCCTCTGAGATTGGTTTGAAATACATTCTCTTAAGGAAATTTTGCTTTTGCTATACTTTTTGAATAGGCACTAAGGATGGAGAGGTTCTTTCATAGAATGAGTTGCAAAGGTAATTGAGGGATTTGGCTGGGATTATGGCTGTTGCCTTTTCTTGTTCTATTGACTTAAAAGGTCAAAAATCTAAAATGAAAATTGGCCTTTTGGAATACTCTGCAGCTGGTTTTTTAATGCCAAAAACAAGCAGCCAAGGGAACTTATTTTTTTTGCCAAACACTCAACACCCTACTAGTTAAAAGTATTGGATCCCAGCCTCAGCTTTGTTGGTCTTGTTTCTTTTCTTTAAAGCTGGAAGAATAGGACTAAAACTAAACTTTCATTGATATGATTTCTCTTCCTTCCTTGACAGGTTGGTTCAAAGCTAATCTCCTGCCATAAACTGGTGCTGGCTTGTGTTATCCCTTATTTCAGAGCCATGTTCCTTTCTGAAATGGCTGAAGCCAAACAGACACTGATTGAGATTAGGGACTTTGATGGTGATGCCATAGAAGATTTAGTGAAGTTTGTCTACTCTTCCCGACTTACTCTGACTGTTGATAATGTCCAGCCTCTCTTATATGCAGCCTGCATTCTTCAGGTGGAGCTTGTAGCAAAAGCTTGCTGTGAATATATGAAGCTACATTTTCATCCCTCCAACTGCCTGGCAGTGAGGACCTTTGCAGAAAGTCACAATCGTATTGACTTGATGGACATGGCTGACCGGTATGCATGTGAACACTTTACTGAAGTGGTGGAATGTGAGGACTTTGTCAATGTGTCACCTCAGCACTTGCATAAACTTTTGTCTTCCAATGATCTGAACATTGAAAACGAAAAGCAGGTTTATAGTGCTGCTATCAAGTGGTTTCTTGCCAATCCCCAGCATCGTACTTTATGGTTGGATGAAATACTTGCTCAGGTATGAAAGAGTGGGGCACAGGCATATGCATGGGTGGATCTAGGATTTTGAAAAGTGGGGTATAGATGGTGTATCATCTCATGCTATATAATACACATTTTTCTTCAGTTAAAAGAAACTAGAAGCTACACTAATAAGCTAAGGACTTAGAGCTATAGTATTTAGCTTGAGGGGGAAAAATGGAATGTGCGTTCATTTGCTATATCATATAATGTTGTGTACACACCACAAACTAGGTAAAAAGAATGATAAGATCTTGCTTCATTAGCCCTGCAGTCATAATTAAATGCACATCTTTCAGATTCATAAGATCTAGCCCTCTTGAGTATCTTGACAGTGCATCCAGTGCTTAATCGAAAATTATTTCCTCACCTGAGCTAATGTTCACCTGAGTTAACATTTCCACACCTGACTTAATGTTTTTAGGTAGAGTTAAGAAACAGTTTGCAAGGCTGTGCAATAGAAACTACATTACTTGGAGCAAATAACAGACAGCAGAATTGCAGAAATAAGGATAGCTTGAGTAATGGAACCAATAAAGACCATCAGAAAGACAGAAGATCATTAACACCTGTGGAATGAAGAGTTTAGAAGGAATCAAGTAGATAATAGTGATGCCTGAATAAAAGTGCTGCTGCTACTGCTAGGCAGTTGGTTTTAAACTTCGGTAGACCAGGAATCAAAGTGGGGTGCAGCTGCACCATTACTCTCCTCCTGGATCCATTCCAGGTATATATTAGATTTTTTTTTCCTATTATTTGAGCTATATATCCATCCCTTTTACTTGGAGTAGGAAATAATGATCGTCAGAGAGCAAGGAAAATAAAGTAACTCTTTTCCTGTCAAAGTCAATCATTGGTTTTAGTTTTGTACTGAAAAACAAACTTTATTAATCGAATGCTAGGTTCCTGCTATGCAGGACACTTTTTCCTGATGGGGAATGGTACAACAATTCTGTCAAAATAGTAGCTGTCTTCTATGTAGAGAGACTGCTAGTCTAACCTTGGATATCAGAAAATGAAGTAAAATTCTTATCCAGTTCCTGGAAAGAGAATAAGTCATTTCAGTCACTGAAATTAATGCTATTTAGAATAATCCTAAAACAGTATCCTTAAATGTATCCTAAAACTCATACAAAATTAAATGGAGTACATTAACCTATTGCCTATTTATCCATTAGTCAATGCTATTTTTAAAAAATAAGAGATTCTCTTCCTTTACTGAGGAAGAACAAAGTTTATATAGCTGGAGGTTATATCAGTAGTATATGTACTACTTGTCCAGCAATGGTAAAAGCATCATTAAGTAGTGTGTTCCTTTAGTGTTATAATTATAAATATAAATTTAAAACACTGATAAGCTCTTTCAGTTTTGGACAGGTGGTTGATCTTTATTCATGCATTTATTAATGCTTGACCTGAGAAAATGAACATAAGACACACTGTGAACAGTTTTGGTTTTTTTATGAAGACTGTAGGAAGAATTCGTAGTCATGAATTGCTTATTTATGTTGCTTTCAAAAAGCATTACTGAAAAGGGGTAACAGGTCAAATGCAGAGTAGAAATCCCCCCTATGTTTAACCTGTTACAATTCTATATATTTACTCTACATAAGACCAACATACTCTGACACCACAGTGTTAGAATCCCATATTCACTGCAGAATTTTGTTCCCAAATCTAAGCTTTTATTAAACTTACATTTTTTTAGTTGCACTACAAACATTGCAAATAGACACTGAGTGCCAGTACATGCATTTAATGTTTAAAAGAATAACTAAGAGTAGTACAGTGTCCTAGTTACCTTTAGGAGTTTGGAAAATTACAGAATAGAATTGACCTTTGTCATGGATTAACTGTTTCACCAGTTAAGTTCATAGCAGAACTGCTGTTTGCATGATGATGGTACATAGAGATTGGTTGACTTGCTGATCTTGCTATACTGGGGTACCTTTTGCCTTCCCATACACCGTCAACCCTAGCTACTTTGTACCTATTTGCCAAAACCTCCCATTCCCTACAAAAACTAGAATGAGGTTAGGTAGTTGAGGGAAATTGTGCAACGTGTTAAAAATTAATCTTAGGAGCAGTACAGTTTAATTAAATAATTAAAGGAATATTAGACTTTGTTGTTCACCTCCTAATATAATTAGAGAAAATTCTAAGACTAATTAATGTTTAAAACTGCTATAGCATCTTAATTTTGTTGCTGTGGTGTGGGGTAAATCTGTGGTCCATCATAGCTATTGTAGATTATTTGCCATGGAGTACGTGGGGTGGAGTCTTAGTTGTTGGATCCTACTGGGAAATATTAACCTCTGATACTGATTTGAGCTGATGATTATCTGAAAATGTAAGCTTGTTTCTTTGGGTAGTTTTTCTGCTGTCTTTAATCCTACCTTCTTTTTAGCAACGTGTTTTGATAGGGCTTGGTGTTATCTCTTTGGAATAAACTGTTACAGGGAGGGAGCTTCAAGGCAGTATTTTAGATAGATGATTAAATGAGGTTTCTTCAACAGTCTGTGAACTGCAGTAGGCATTGATCAGTAACAGATCACCAACTGGAATTTGTAACTCCTTGCAACAATATCTCTACATTTTATGGCTAGACTTTCTGGGCAGACATCTAGAGACACAGGAGTTGGAAAGACGTATGCGCTAGGTCTAATAGCGAAGCGGCTAATATTTGCTTCGCATTTGGCTGATTCAGGGCACAGTGATTTGATTCGGTGATTCGAATCACTGGCCTGATTCAGCAGCAGCCGAATCTCTGAATTGGCCAGGCCCATCCCCCGCCCACCCTAGCTCCCAGCACCTGAGGAAAAAAAAGTCCCAGCTCAGCAGATGCTGCCGGGTGGGGGGCTGCCCACAGGTGCCCTGCATGGGCCAGCACCAGCCCTTTAAGAAAAAAAACAAAACCTGAAGAAACCCCAAGACTTGCTGCTCCTGCTGGCGAGGGCGATCCCCGCTGCCCCCTGCCACATGGGAGCTCTGCAGGA